CTTTGCTTTTGCATTTTGGTGTGTTGGGTCCTCGGTGGTCTTTTTGGGGTCCAGTGGATGGGGTACAACACTAAATAAACAACAAATCAATTTTTTGGTTCTTCTGTTTATCAGTCACTTATAAAGTCTTTCTTTTAATTAGACAGGGATTTGTTGAATGATGACGTTATTGAACTGAGTGCAGAAAAGTAAAGTTTAGCAGAGGTCTCCTAATTGATTGTCTTCCATATCTACAGAAAGCATTGATAACTAAGGGACTTGCCTGTGATAGGATTTGCCACTGGCAGATAGTTTCAACATCCTGTCCTTCTCAAGCCTGTTATTTCTTTATTCCTGTTTTGCTATTTCCTCTTTTTCTGCCTCCAAACTTCCAAATAGGCATGGCTGTTCCACACCACAGTAATACTAACTTGACAACAAAAGAAATCTCTGGGTAACCCTGAGCCTCGTACTGGCTTGCTTTCTCCCAGGAGAAAGTAAATCACACAGTGCTGGATCTTCATTTGATCTCCTCCTCCTGCTTTAGTTGCCTTATGATCAAAGCCTCCTCGTTCTGTCCCTGAAGATGTGATGACAGAAGTTAAGAGGGGGCAGAAGAGTAAAGGGAAACAAAGCCCACCAATGCTATCAAAGTCACATGAGGTACGCCTGATTGACTCACTGCTACTAACAACCGGGAGGGTGAGCCATGTGCCATATTTGAGGGCTCAAAGCCTCGGAGACATACACCCCTCTCAGAGACTCACCAACATTGCTCATGTTGCCATGCTCTCCCTGTCACTGTGATTGGTTAGGAGCAGGATCAGTCACCAGGCAACAGAAATCCATTGTGAACATGTAGTGGCCCCTCTGTAGGGTTCCAGATTCCATTCCATTCGACTTACCTCTGGTGTAATCCCCAGTGTGAAGGGAAGCCTTTATCTTACTTGATCTCCTGGATGAACATACTAGATACATCCTATACTTAGTCCATACTTAGTGTGGACTGGTAGGTGCTTTCTAAGTTTGTCCAAGACCTTGTCCCACCAAGTGAGTTGTTACATTACTAAACTCAGCCTTAAAAACTAAGCAGCATGCCCTGGATAGTTTGTCCACTTAAAACACCAACCTCTTGGGGCTTCAGTTCCTTTCTCTGAAAGGTTGTCAGGCAGCTGGTTTTTAAATCAATTCTTGGTTTCTTTGTCCCTTTTAACATTTTCGCTTATTTATGTATTTTTCCTCTCTGTCCTTTTCTAATAGGAAGTAGTAAGCATTAAGATGAAAGATTATGAGCCCCATAAATGTTAATGGTGTAGCCAAGCCTGTCCCCCATGCCCCAAATTCCTGAGAAAATCATTGTTCAGTATCACACTTGAG